TTAAACAATACGTAAAAATGTTACTAACTAAAGTTGTAAGATTTAAAGCGATAAATTAATATAATAATAATGATTTCCTGACAGGTGGATACGTAGAGAAGTTATAGAGGTCAAATTTGTTTTTTTTTTTAAATGGAATGTCCGACCTTTTATGTTCGATTTCGAAGGAATAGCGAATTCTGAGTATAAAAGTACTAAGGTACATTTATCTTAAGACCTACCGTTTGGAGATATTTGACTTTGGTCATATGAGATTGCATGATATGATGTGACATTGCACATGCAAATTAATAGGATGAACAAAGTCAAATATCTCAGAAACGGTAAGTATCAGGATAAATGTATTTAGTGCGTTTATACTCAGAATTCGCTATTCTATCTAGATCAGCCATAAAAAACTGGACATTCCATTGAAGAAAACAAAAGTGACCTCTATACATATCTCCTCTACGCATCCACCTGCCTCATAACTCAAAACAAGAAGACTTTGTTCGAAAAGGAATTGAAAATTTGCCTTCAACGTGGCACAAAGTTATAAATCACGGTGGAAATTACATTTTCTAATAAAGTGAAATCATACGTGTAACTTTTATAGTAAAACAATGTTCAAAAATATATTACTTATCGAACGACCCAATACTTTTCAAAAGGTCATAAAAATCCGTAGTCTACCAATGATTGACGAAATCCTCGAACAAGTGCAATACGCCCGAGTTCGACAAGAATTTGTTACGCGATCGAGTTACGAGCTTGCAGGTGCGCCACGCCGTGAGATGCGAGAGATAGCAGATTCTTACAAGTGAATTAGTTGGTCGTTTCGAATGTTAAACGAGGACTATTCCTACAACAGTTTCGAGGATAAATGATATGCCTCCGGCGAAACATTATTTTAGACGACACTTGTGTGTTACCCTCTTTTGTGGTCCGGCACGAGCCGCGAAAACGGTCCGAATTTCCACGACAAACTATGATTCACCCCGTCCACGGATTTACATGCCCCTTCGCCTGTCGTCTCTCCATCCCGTCTAAAAATCGTTAATCGTTCCCGTTGTGTCGTTATTCCAATGATCGTACGGATTCTTGCAAATTGCTCGCACCATTAATCACGGCTACCCGAGACCATGTACAGTCTGTTTAGTAAGAGTTTGTGCGGCGAAATTTTTACCTATACCTGCAGCTATCGGAAAAATTCCCGGTGAATTCAGGTAGTCTGACCCTTCCTCTAGGACTCTAGAACGTGTTGTAGGTAAAGTTTTAGTAATTGTTCGACCATCGTAAGGAAACGACGTTTTGAAGTGTAAGTGTAGGCGACACTCTTCGAAGTGATATTCTTAAAAAGGAACGTTTGGGCACACGAAAATATCGACTGGAATTAGGAGAATGTAGTTTTTTTCGGACAAAGCTCCTTTTTGGGTGCGAATTTCTATTAATCGTGTGTGGTCAAGATCATCGAACCAATTATTTCAGTGGATCGTGTGAAACACTCCGCAAAGGTGCACGTTCTGGGGGTGGTTTTTCAAACAGGGATTATGGACTTTATCGATGTTTACAACCGAAATGATAAAGATTTATCAAAGAGGTTTACTAAGGTCAGCTGACAAACGGTTTGGATAGAAAAATCGATATTGCAAGAAGATAATGATCCCAAACATTCGGATCCATCGGTGTACAGAGTGGACAACCGCAAATGGTATCCAGGTACTATCACAATACAGTAAAATTGGAAATGCAGTAAATTCTCGATAAACGCTCGGAATGATCTCTACGTTAAATGCTTCTGCTTTATCTCCACTACTGGTGTGTTCCCCCTTACCAATCGAATTTATAAGGTACAAAAATACTGTACCTCCACGATAACTGTTCTAAAGTAGTTCTGAGTTTCGAGAATTAATCGAAGATTTACTGTATAATTTAAAGCAACTAACAAGGGAACTCGGGGACTGATACACTCCGATTTTTATGAAACTTTGCATAAATATTTATTAGACCTATCTAAGGAGATAGCTATAATTTGTTCGTGCCAGTTTTTCAATTTAAGGGAGATATCAACCCTTTTATTCGAACCGCCCTTTCTATATACGTGCTTATAGGTCGTAAACAACAAAAGATATCGAAAATGGTTGAAATAAAAGTTATACCGTTTCTTGAGATCTATAAAGCTGCGTGTAAATTTTGTTGAAAAAATCATTCTTTTCGGAAAATTCCAAATTTGTTGATATTTAGTTATATTAGTCCCGGATGGTCCCCTGTAAGTTGCCAAATTCGATCACCATAGCGATCTTTACCCATAGAATATGCTTAGAAGATGCCAAGCAACTGTAAACAATAACAGAGATTGGACCACGTACATATTGACATAAAAGCGTGGTAGAGGAAGGGTCAGGCTATTTTAATTCATCAGCGTTTTTGCAAGATCTGCATCCAGGTAAAAATTTTACCGGTCACACTCTTGCTAAACAGACTGTACCTGGCAGTGCCTCCGCGAGACGCCGTATCGCGTCACGATGAATTGTAATACGTATGGTTTTTCACAACGTGCACAACCGCCGTGGTTTTCTCGTTCTCTAATGGCGGTTTTCATAGGACCGCCCGGGGAATTATCACGTAATGCTTCCCGCGTTGCTTGACCCGTGAACAATTTTTCGTTTCGGACGCCGTGGCACTTTCATCTTCGACAGACTCCGTGGAATAGTTCGTCAGGCATGTAATTATCGGATACCACGCGATAAGCTCGCCGGCGGCGGGTCACCGGTGACCCACGGAGGATTATTCGTTCGAGCATACATACTCTATACATGCTTTCACTATGGAAAGGCGTAATGTCACGAATCGTTAACTGCTGGATAATTATCGTGTGTACGGTGGACGCTAAGTTCGTGACTCACCGAGTGACCCCACGGAATAGCTTTTGTTCGTGCTGTTGTGATACCTCTAATAGCGGAAACTATATTAAATGACAACCAATGACAGTGAATTTAATGGACATTCAATACACAACAGACGCGATGCGAGCGTAATTGTCGGGTAAATCGGTCCTAATTGTATCATGTTTCACTGGTCTACGTATGTAGTTTATTGGAAATAAATTGATATATTTATTTGTTGTGAATAATAGTATTATTAAATGGCGATTGATGTATTGGTTGAACATGGATATAATTACCGATACTCTTGGGTGGTTTTGATCCGAATAATATTTACATCCCCCGAAAGATATAATTACAAAATGAACCTGTCGTTAGGAATTGATAAATTCTGTAATTAGATGCTCGAAGGAATGCGCTTGTAAATCTTCGACGAAGTATTATTCTGTTAACAGGGTGATATAAATGGAATGATAGTCGATAGTGTGCTCCTATCGTAAATGTCCTATAAGAAAATTAATTACATTCCAGTTCAATTACCAGAGTCACAGGTCTGGACTCCGTGTAAGAAATACGTAATATGGTAATTAATTTTTTCGACTACGTGGTCATGCGTATGATTCCCAATAGACAGGAACTGAGCTGTAGAAATTCAAATATAATTTAATTGATGTACATTTACGTGTCTGAGATATTTTATAGTGAAAATACACCGTGCGCAGGGAAGATGGTCGTAATGAATGACGATCAAAGTGTCAACTTTTTATGATCTAGTTGGATTTTTTACTCGTTCGGCATTTGATTTTACGATATCAAGTTTCATGGATCATATATTTATATCCTCGTAATACTAAAATTCTATTAAATATAAATATATTACTATTAATATCGATAATCTCTATATACAGGGTGCCTGACAGGTTTCTGTACGAAATTTGGCAGCGCGTTCTGTAGCTCAAAGTAATTATTATATTATTATACCCTTGTCAATTCAGTGAATCACTTAGGACAAGTTAATAGTTACGTAACACTATCATTAAAGTTAACGTTATCAAATAGAAAATCCTACTGTGATCATTGAGGACGGTGCATGTTCTGCCAAACTTATTTCTTTTTCGGTCTATTATTCCCACCTACTATATTTATGTATAAGACTTGGGCAAATGTAATCTAATTACAAAATCCGAATCGCAATTACAATGTAATTGCAATGTAATTGCAGGGCAATTACAATTACATTGTAATTTTACAATTGTAATTTTTATTGTAAATTTAGTATAGTTAATTATAATGTAATTGTAATTATCTTGCAATTACTTTGAAATTACACTGTAATTGTGATTTGGATTTTGTAATTATATTACATTTTGCCTAACTCTACTATGTATACACATGACAGTAACTCTTTGAGAGTTGCTCCCACGTCGATATGTACTTAGCATTATAGCTACCACTAACCAGTCCCGAATATTTTTACCTTATTTTTAGCCATAAAACATACACAAAAATTTGCACAAAAATCCATCAGGCGTCCTGTAGAATACCAGTGTCAGTACACTAAGTTATCGATAAAAAATAATTCACCCTTTAACGGTAGAATTTGGTTTTGGAAATGCGTACCCATTTGATTCCTTTATTTTAATAAAAGAAATATATTTTCTAGTTTTTACTAAAATTTCAATTTTTATAAGAAAAGATATTTTATTTTTTCTCATGACGAGTATACTCGACATTACCAAAAATGTAGTAATGTCCTCATGACCAGTATATTCGTTAAATACCGTTAAAGTGTTAAATCGGGATAAGAATCAATTGAGCCGTTCACAGGCCAAAGTACCTTTCCAAATTTTTTTCAAATTTGATTCCTAAACCATTAGGGGCTTAATTGTATAATTTTATTAATTTTCTCTATTTATTGTTTTGTGGAGTTAATGACCATGGCGAATGAGCGGCTCGATGCTCGGTATTGCTTCAAACGGTCTCGATTCATTCAGAAAAATGTGACACGAACTTTCCTCGGAAATTGAGGGACGCGCGAATGGTTAGCCACGAACCGAGAAAAACGACCGGAACAAGCAACGAAAATGAGCGTGTCTCACGAGGGAAGCTCCTAAAGGGTTTGCCGTTTATTTTCAGATCGTGCGCCCAGCGAAGGGGATCAACGTCGGTGCAAAAACAGCACACCCGTGCCTCTTCCCGGCTCCCTTACCACCAACGGAGAAGGTAACTATGTCCTCAAGGTTATGCATACCCCTTCTCGCGTCTATCAACGCCGACGACGTGCAACGCGCGAACGAAAACGCGGGTTGCATAGAAAAGGAAGCCACGGAACGTTCCATTCCGTTTACAGCTCGTTGATCCTGACCCTTTGAGCCCCTGTTACCCCCAGTCCAGGCTGTTTACGAAGGATTTTATTTTATAAAAACAGTCTTCGTTATCGTTGATAACCCGCCTTGGTTATTACTTGACCGAGAAGAAACCCGGTAAATGTCCCTATTTCTAATCACATAAGAGTTTTGCTATCGCAGAAATTGATTTTTATTATTTTATTATACAACAATAAAAAAAAATAGGTACTCATTAGATATAAAATCTAAACCTCCTTTTATAATTAGATGTAAATAAAAGTATTTTTAAAAACATTTTAACTTCATAATAGTTACTTTAACACGAAGTATAAAATGTCTCTATTTCTGATCAGCAAAAATGGAGGGGCCAAAACCAAACTTTGGCGAATAATACTAAAGATTCCGTAAGTTTTCTATAGTAAAAACGTAGCGTGCCCGTGTAACCGACGATCGCAACGGAACCGCTCGAATCATGTTTCTTTACGATGGCATACTTGTTAAATTTGTTTCTATTAAAATGCTGCCATCTATTGAACAGCGGGCTGTAGCATTTTGTACGGAAATACTGAACTAATTTAAATAATTTTTTGTATGACTAATTTATTATTTAACCTTTTACATTAAATAAAAAATATTTATACTAAGTAGACATCGGGACGTGATTAGAAATAGGGACATTGACCGTATGTGCTTTCCGTATCGAGATGAGTTTCGTGGAATGCAAACTGAATAATGAAGCTTTGATCGCTTGTATCGGGGATAGTTAGCGTGGATCGCTGTTCGATACGTTGTAGCTGCGCGGCATAAAGGGATTAGTCATGGAGAAATTCGTTAATAAGAAGAGCCGCTTCTGAAGGATCAACGAGCTGAGAAGTTTCACGCGGGGAACGCTTTTAGACCGCGATGGGGGCGTTTGATATTTTCGGTGCGTCGAGAGTTCCGTTCAGCTTCGTTTGCTTCAGGTGATAGAGGATAGGTTTGCTGTTTATTTATATTTTTAGTTAGTTCAATTTAGTAACACAACGTTGGTCATCAAGACGGGCACCATTAGCGTGACGATTAAACGTGCTCAGAGTTATTTTCTGAATGGGTAGCAATATTGGTACAAGATGGATTACGAATAACATCAAACGCTGTAGTAAAACAGTCGAAGACGTCAAGTTCATTCGTAATGAAGCAATTTACACACATCACCATGAAAAACATCCAAAGCATAGATTGCAACAAAACATGAAATATGTATATATACATTTAAACTTTTCGTCTTAATCGAAGAGACACTACCAATAACATTATCAATATCTCATCGTCCTTAGACCCTATCGAGACAAATTTCGTAAATGAATCGAAGATGCCAAAACCAGTAATATTTCCATCAATGGAAGCTAAAAGGATGCCTATGAATATCCTCGTTAAGATTCTCGAATTTAATCCACGGTCGTTTTTGTAGACCGTTCCCTATTTTAAATTCCAAAGAAACTTTAATTCCATTAAACGCATCGCGACGGAGGAAATGCCCCCCCCCCCCTCGAATGGAGTATATCTTCGTTTACCATTATTGATCGGCGATAAGAATGTCCGGGCTGGTCGGTACTGTTAATGATTACAGTCAATCACGATTAGCGTCAATCGCTCGATGATTTTATGAATCGTGTCCCCCGGCACATTTTACCGTTTCGAAATATGCAAACAGAGCCGGTTAACGCGATCGTGGGGCCCCGACGCGACGACGAGAAACATTCGAACAGAGAGTGGACGTGTACATATTTGCTAATACATAGTTGATTGCGACGAAGAAAAAAGAAAACAGAATGGCAGAAAGAAAGAACGAACGAAAACAAAAATGTACATCGCGTAAATGCCGTTCATTAGGCTTAACGGTTGTTCTGCCGAGTAGATCGATCCTCCGGCTACGCCATTGGCCGGTGGCTACGCCTATATCCACGTGGTTAACCTTGAACGATGCTACGAACGATTTCTTCTCTTCGTCTTTCGCCGCGTTTTTCACTTCCGTGTCGACGGGAACAGAGAGACCATCGGAAAGATTCCCCCGGTTGCTGAACTGGTTTGCAGCTCCGAGGCACCCAGGACTTTCCGAGAGATCTTTTTAAAAGAATCACTGATCGGGACAGACGGCAAAAATTTATCGCCGTAGACGGGTCCACGGATCCGGAGTTTAACCAAAAGACCCGTTGAATACTTCGGAAGACTGGTCCCCTCGGCCGGGCCTAATTTCGGCTGGAGAACGAGGACGTTTTCGATTCTCGTTTTAGGTCCCGCTAAAATCCGAACGTTGGATCGAGGCAGCCTAATTCCAGATCTACTACTCGTACTTTCGTGGAATTTCGCTGGTTTTTTTTTGGACTTGAAGCCATGTGTAATGTGATCTGGTTGAATGTTATGAAAATGGCCCTTATGTTAAAGAAGACTAACACAAGGCTACGGAAAGTTTAAAAAGACTTTTATATGCATGCAATCGAATTTTTCTACCCCTTTGACTCTTTGAAGCATAGTGGTGGGAAAAATATCTTACTTTTTTAATGCTTGTACTTGCATGATGGGACTTTGTTGGTATCACCTTTAAATCGTTAAATGACGATGAATAAAGAATAATTAAAATAAAACTACTTTGTCGCATTTTATAGAAAAAAATTTTTGTGGGACTAGACATTTTTCTGGTGTAAAATCCTGTGTTTCAAAGAGTTAAACACTTCTGCTACAGTTTATAGTTTTCTGCAGGGTTGCACAGAAGAACAGCCACTACTGTAAATCCTCGATGAGTGTTCGAAGGTTGCTTGACACTGAACATTAAATATTTCATAAACTAATGACCATATGTGGCTGAAATAAACATGGTTGACTTCAAAATCCCAGGCTTCATTACTGTGCCTCATTAAAAAGTCAACGTTACACCTGGGGGCCTCACCTTGTTAGTTCCGAGAAGACTTCGAACACTCATTGAGGATTTACTGTACTTCCTTTGCTTTGCCTCTTTCGCCTCAGCCATTTTTTACATTGTGAGCTAATATAAATCATTCGATTGAACATAGTTCAACAGAAATGGAAAAAGAAATATTGTTTCCACGTATTTTAACCTTATAATTAGACTGCGGATTTTTATGAAAATTCATAGATTTAGAAGACACTTCACAGAAATAGAAGTGTACAGTAAGTTGGGGTAACTTTGACTCAATCAGACACATTACCCTCAGAAAATGATCATTTTCGATTTTGTAGCTCTGCAAATTGTTAAATTAAGTTGATTTTTACGTGAAAAGGATTTCACGTAAGAATACCCGCAAAATAGCTGCAAAATCGAAAATTATTATAAAAAATCGCTAAAAACATTTAATAACCACGAAAATGTTTTATTAAATTGTTTTACTGTACAGTACACTCATCCCTCGATTTATGCGGAGTATTCGTTCCATTTAGTTTATTGTAAAATAAATATTTTTATAACGTATACTGCCTTTTTCCTTGAGAATTTTTTTTTCATACCATTTAGACGGTTTTTATCCGAATAAGAAGAACCACATGGATCAGACACTCCACGTAAATCGAGGGACGGGTGTACGTTTTTCTACATATTCAGAAGTGATACAATTACGTACACAAATATTCCATGTCAGATTCACATATTTTTTTCTCTTTCCTTGAAAATTTCTTCCGGTACCTACGGACATTCCGCTCGGTCGAGCGCAGCAGCGACACTCCAGGCGCCATTTTCGAATTTCTTCGGCCGCGGTAGACAGCCACATCGCAAGACGTGCGCGCGCGCGCGCGCTCCGATGCAAAATCATGATTACGCTGAACGAAGGAGAGCAAGGTCAAAGATCGACGTTCTTGGTGAAGATTTAATGCCCGGCGGCGGCTGCATAATTCCGAGCAATATCGCCGTTCTAAAAATAAGCCCTGTCTCGTAAAGAAAGGCACACGAACAAGGTGGACGCGAGACGTTAAATACGAGGCATGAATACGGACGAAAGTGTTCCCTTCGAAACACGAAGAAATTTCCTCAGAGCACGGGCGCGCGCGTTCCAGCGAGCTGACTGCTTCATCTATCTCTCTCTTTCTCTTGTTTTCTCTTAGTTTCATCCCTCCCCTGGTGTCTTCTTGCTTGTTGCTTCGTGGAACGCCAGAAACGCTTTTGGCCACGACTAGAACGAGGAAAGCGGTGCGTGTTCGCCGACGCCGCGACAGCTCCATTTCGCCTTCCACGCGTATCAGAAACGCCCGCGAGATCGGCCCACGAACTTTGTACACCTATTCCCAGATTTACACGGTACTTTTTCTTTGAAAAATAACAGATTTTCCAAAAGGATAATGACCACGCGAAATCGAACACTTTTTGGAGCACCATTTCGGATTTTGTTCAAATTTGGATATGTTGTAGTTTTTAGCGATATATAGACGCATCTTGGAGGATTTTTGACAATATTCAATTGTTGATTTTACAGCTGTTTGAAATTTAGTGTCAACCTTTTCTTCAATAAACCATAACTACTGAACTAACAAACTGAGGGAAATGAGCTTTGTGGGTACTTACAGTGGAGACGTAAGAGTACCAAATAAAAATTATTTCAGTTAAAAAATATATTTCTCAACCATTTATTTTGCAATTGTTTTAAATAAATGTCCTGTTTTTATACCGGGGAACTACTTAAACATTTGAAAAAAAATTGAGGATATAGCCCTATTTGTCCTCTGTATGGACATATCTTCAGAAATATGGACACTTTAAAATTTGCCGTATGAAAATTAATTGAAGTGAACACTGAATCGAATTACACCGGTTCCACATATCCAAATATGAACACCATATCCAAATTTGAACTCAATCCGGAATGGTGCGTATTAAAGTGTCCGATCTTG